GGAAGGCTTTAGAGCTCCCAAAAACCTTGTCTTGGTGTGTTTGGACTGAGGAAAATTGCATAAAAGAGGATGAATCGAAAGGAGAGAAGAAAAAGGGAAGGGGAGACTTGGGAAAATTGGAGAAAAGCTTTTAGGGTTTCTTGGGAATGAGGAGCTTCCATCGGCTATAAAAGGGAGTGTCTTCTACCCATTGAAAACAACTCAAGACCCAGAGAGCAAGCATCATCTCTCACCTCTGGAACCCTTCAATTTGGAGCCACAACTCTCCATCTCCTCCAATTTTCTCTTCTAGCAAGCTATTCCAGATCTTGACAGACTTTTCGTCAAGCTGCTGGAAATTACTTAAACCACCCATCGTTCCTCCTCATCTCTCTCCCCCCTTAGCCAACCTTCTTAGAATCACTTCCCTTTCCTTAGAACCCCTGTTCCTCATAGGAATTCACAGCCTTCTCTCTGTTTATGCTAAACTCATGCTTTTCTCTCTCTCAAATTGCTAAACTTGTGAAAGCTTAGCTCCCATGCCACAAGCTCCTCATGCCAAGCCATTCCATTGCTAATTTGTCACGTTTATTTGGTTGATTGGTGAAAGAATCCAAGGTGTTTTCTAAGGTTGTCACTACTTCTTTCAAAACTCTCTTGGAGCTTGGTCTTTGAACTCAGAAACAGGGGCAACCTTCTCCGCTCATCCTTTACAGCAGCCCAAGCCCATTCGTCTGGCTGCTGGAAGAAAAAGACCCCAACACCTCTCAATGAAGTACATATAAAAACAATGGATGTAACTTGATTATGAGTAAACACACTCAAACACATGTTTATAAATGTGAGATTATGATTTTATCATCTAAGGTGATGATCCAAAATTTGGCATCAACATTACTAATTTTTCATAAGGTTTAGGTTTAATTATAAAGGCTAGGCAAAAAATGAAACACTCTTTCTACATGAAAAATCATCGTTCTTTTCATCTTCTTTTTCCTATGGTTCTTCTCTACTATCTTCTCCGCATGTTATTCTCTTCACTCTTCTCTAGGTATCAATCTCTCACACACTCTCTCTCTCTCTCTTAGTCTCTCCAATATGCATTTTCTTACTTCTTCTCTCTTGTTCTATATTCATCTTCTTTTTCTGTACATAATTCCTCTTCTATGGTGTTTATAATATTATGGATAAATATTTAGTACTCTTCAAAATAGATTAATACTATTTAACAGAAATTAGTCAGTACAGTCCGACTTACCAAACAAACTCAAGGAATAGATTACTTCGATATATAATTATGCATCAATAGCTAGACTCCCATCCACTACGGTATTGTTTGCCTTGACATCTTTGTATTATTTGCATGCGCATCAAATTAGTAGGTGTTGAGGCCCAAAAAGTCCAAAACTGGGCCCAAATATATTTCTAGCCCAGTATGACACCTAACTTGGGAAGAAACCCAACTTGGGTATGCAAGAGTTCATCATATACGCTTGTACACGTGCCATGTCAAGCAAATAAGCAACACGTCATGCTATAAGCTTAAGTGGGCCCAAGCCACACGAATGCATGGAGCTTGCTGAGCGGGTTGTGGTATGAATGGTTACGAGCATTCATCAGGCCCATTGATGGGCCAAGAAGTGGAAGTTTTGGGCTGCTTGGGAGCCCCAAAACTCAAGCCTATTTCTTGAGCCCAAATATGTGGGTAAGCATGAAAGAGAGAAAAAGTTAGCCAATTACCTTAGAAAATTGACCTATCACCTTGGTAAAAATAGTTCATCACAAAAAATAGCAAAGAAAAAAAAGAGAGAAAGGAAAACGGAATGGAAAGAGTGCCCAAACTCATGTGAGTGGTTCAAGCCGCTCATTTTTGTCACTTAGGGCAAGGACTTAACTGCTTCATAGGGACCATGCATCATGCATGCATGTATGACAAACATACCAGCTAACCGTACTTGTGAAACATCCAACTTAATTTCTATTTGGCCTAATTAATTTCACCCCCAAACTAACCCTCTCTGTGCTTCCCCCAACCGAGCATACGTGTGAAAAGAATCACCCAGCCACGGACAACCACCTCACGCTTAGCTGGTTGATTCTTTTCACACGTATGCTCTACTGCAAGGGGGATTATACTTCAAGTAATTAAGAACATTCACCTATTAACTTGAGAAGAAAATTTTGTGAGAGTGCAATCGCATAGAACAACCATACACAATATTTCTCTGATCAGAGGTTCTACTTTTAACCTTTTGCTTCTTCTAATATCGCTTGAACAAGATAAAATAATTTAATATTCTGTTTTAACGGACGGGGGTTTTAATGGACGGGTTATCTTGGCTTAGAGCATAATTAAATAATAAAAAACCGTTTAGAAATAAGAATTATATATTGGATGCATACCTGTTTGGAGAAGTTACAGCGAAGTTGATCCAGTGGTGTTTATCTTGATCCCATTTGACGATGCGGCCGTCTGAAACGCCGGTGTAGGGACCTCCGCTGAGAGGGTCGAAGGCAAAGCTCTCAGGACCAACAGCACCTTCCACAATTGGAACAACTTCAAACTTATTTTCCTCATGATTTGAAAGCTTTTCTACATCTGCTGCTGCTGCATTATTTTTAATAGAGCAAAATTTGATAACGTTGAGGGCTGTCAAGACAGAGAGGACAACGCCTATGCTTGCTGCCAAGAAGAGCTTTGCGTTCATGTTTGCCCCTGGAGACGAAGTAGCTAGAAGGTGTGTGCTTAATGGGATATATATATATATATATATACACACACATGGCATGTAATAGTGAACTGCAGGACTTATAAGAGGACGCATACCTTAAAGTGCGCAAAGCGCCCACTGCCGCATCCAGCCAGCAGAAAAACTTGTATGAAAAGAAGTAAATAAAAACTTAAAGTTAGTCATTTTAATATGCACTGTACATATAATTCAATGACTGAGATTAGAAAACCTTAATCAACCCTAAATCTACATATACTAACTCATAAGTTTTATCTCAAATTACAATAGGTAAGGACAGAGTCATGAATTTTCAAAAGGGTGGATTAGCTAATTTTGTGTCTACATACCGTTAATAAAACTCTAAAGTAAAATCTTATCAGCCCAACTAGTTCATTATTCATTTTTAACAAAAGAAGAAAGATTGTATATACATAAATAAAAAAAAGAATCACACTTTTTCAAGTTTGATACAAAAATATTCAACAAAAGAAGTAAGATTGTATATATGTTAATGGGCTTAATATAATATAATCAGTATTCTCCCCAGATTTTCTGTAAAAAAGAGAGGCTTTCAAGTGTTTCTCTATCTCCCCAAAGAAATGCATATCCTCTCAGTGAAGTACATATAAAAACAGTGGATGTAACTTGATTATGAGTAAACATTACTAATTTATAATCTGAGGTGTTGATTTACTAATTTTTCTTAGGGTTTAGGGTTTAATTAAAGGCTAGGAAAAAAATAAAACATGCTTTTTACATGAAAAATCATCTGTTCTTTTCATCTTCGTTTTCCTCTGGTTCTTCTCTACTATCTTCTCCACATGTTATTCTCTTCACTTTTCTCTAGGCATCAATCTCTCACACACACACACACTCTCTCTCTCCAATATGCATCTTCTTGCTCCTTCTCTCTTGTTCTGTATTCATCTTCTTTTTCTTTACATAATTCCTCTCCTAAGGTGTAATAACCCGATCTTAAATTAATATTTAATTAATAAAATATTCAAATGAAAGACAATTTTACCCTAGAAATATTTTAATGGTTTTAAATTTGACTTTTTGTTCGGGGAAGACTTTGGGGATTTGAGTGGTGCCGTTGTGTCGGGCTCGTTGATACGAGTTCGTAGACAGGCGGCACGCTTGATTCCGAGTTGTAACAAACCCGTACAGATTTAAAAACCCAAAGGACGTGTTGGTCATTTTGAAAATTGTTATTAAAAAAAAAAAAAACCCCTAAATACTCCACCCTCCCTCTGGCGTGCGTCACACACCCCCCCCTTTCCTGATTCTTTCTCCTCCCGACGGCGTCACCTCTTCTCGCCGTTGATTCACCGACGTCCAGCCACCTCAGGCCACGGCACCGGTCCCATTAGAACGGCGTCGAGCTCCTCTACCCATCCCACCTCATTTCCCGGCAGGAAAACGCTAGGATCAGCGGCTGTGTCGACTGGCAGTTCCGCCAGTTTTCCGGCGACGTTTCCGGCAATTCCGGCGAAGTTTTGCTTCGAACCAGGTATGAAATCGCATCCTCTCCTCGTGTTTTTGCTGTTTCTATAGGTTATTAAGATCGATTTTCTTAGTTTGAAACTCAGTTCAAAACCTAGAAAATTTCCAAATTTTGGATTAATTTTCCGGCCATTTCCCGGCCAAATTGGAGGTCGACCCAGTCGAATAAATTGCTCCCCTAGTTGTCCTGATCGCGTAAGTATAAGTGTTGAAGGGTGAAATGAGAAATTCCCGTCCTCGGAAATTTACTCAAGCCACCATCGCGTGGGCCACCTTATGGCTAGTCTTTGATGGACTTGTTGTCCATTATTTACTGCAACCATTATATCATGAAAAGCAAAGCTTAGCACAAGAACCTTATATTTTTAGTTGTCTGGTTTTTTTTTTATTGCTCATTTATAGCTTTCTGGAAATTATAAGCACCTTCGTTGGACTATATGCAGAGCAGCAGGAGACAATCAAGAACTTGCGTCATGTTCTTCTGGACTGACGGAGAGGTAGTTCTCATCTACTTATAACCTTATATCTGTCGATTGTAATTTCTAAAGTGGGCATCAAAACATGGTTAATTTATTTGAGTGATCTTCTGGTTTTTCCCTTCTGTTGGATTTAAAAGATTTGAATCTTAATGTATATATAGTCAAATACTTAACTGTAGTTAGTAGGATCCTTTCCAAATATAATTCTTTAATAATCACCGGGAAGATATTAATAAATGCTATGTTACACCGATACACCACTTTTTAGGGGTATGCGAGTATCGGTTACGTCACCGATACGGCATCGATACGTATCAAAGGTTGCTAGCTAGGAGAAATAGCTTTCACAGCTAGAAAGAAAGATTGAGGAAAACACCTGGAAATGTAAACCTCTTCTAATTTGTAATCAAATATATGTCTCAAAGTAAGTAGCGGCTCAAAACTTGGATTATAAACCTTGGAGACAGAGAAGTCATGGTACATATCAGCTCTCCACACAAAATGATATTTTGTGTTGTCATTCTTTACTCTCTCCTGCTCATGTTTCCTTTACTAACACATCTTGACCATAAAAAGTTGAGAGTAGAAAATTGAATCATGGTTTTGATAATGCTCATAAATAGGTGAATATGTTATAAGAACTCTGCTGCATGTTGTTAAAGGTTCAGTGATATTTTCCCCTTTTATTATTCTCTACTTAATTGGTCATGTAATCTGGTAAAGGTAAAACAGATTTGCAGCTTGTATGAGGCCGTGCATTCTTGGAATGAGTTTTATCCTTCAAACTTTTTGTATTATAATTTCTCCTTTTCTATTGATATTATTTAGGAAGAACTAGTTTGAATGAGCCTTTTGCTGTTGTATTCTTTCCTTGAAGTTGTTTGGTTTAGATTATTTTGCTCTAGTTTAATATTTTTACTGACATCTACAGTTGTCTCACAACAATTCCAATGTAGATGTGGTCTAATAAGAATCCTTTTTCCTTATTAGTATCTGAAACTATTTGTTATTTATCAATTGGTCCTTTTGCAGTTAAGGCTAATATTTGGCACGTGCCACGACGACTCACTTGTGTAAGAGGTCACTTCACGCTACAGCTTCTTCTTCTATTCTTCACCCACCTCCCAACCCAACTAACTGTAACTCAATGGCAACGGTGGACCCAACTGAACCCCCAACAGTAGAAACTTTATGCCCAGAAACCCCTTCCTCTTTTTCTTCTTCTCCTCCGCTTTCTCCAAAATCAGCAACCCCATGTCCCCAAAACCCAACCCAAAGCCCCTCACCGTCATCAGTACTAGCAACACCGCTGGCAAGGCTATGGAGACCCACTGCACAGAGAAACCTGAGAAATCAATGGTCCAAATTAGCTTCTTACAGACAACAATGGGCATCTTCTTCTTCTACTGCACGATCACATGCCACCGCTCTTGTAAACGCCTATCTTTCTCTAAAGTACTACTCTCCAGTCTCTACTTATACATGCCTTTTTATTATGGAGACCATGTGCTGTTCTGGGGCATGGTTGGAATTCAATTTCATGCTTAAAAATCCATAATTTTGCATAAAAGCTTCATATTTACTGATTCTTTCAGATACATGCCTTCCATGGAGTTGGGCGCCTTGAGGGATATTCCTAATATAAAAAAGAAAGCTTCTCAGAAATTGTTTAAGCAGCAGGTAACAGTAACAAGCAAGCTTTTACTTACTTGACTGCTTTTACAACTCTTGTAACGTGATTAGTGTACATCTTGTGCTACTTTACTTACTTAATTTTGTTTCAGGTGCTTCATCAAGGCAAACTTTTATCATCATATAAACACATGGTACTCATCTTCTTCTTTTACCGTCTTATTTTCTTTTCTTGTTTTATTAGAATTTACACATCTTTATTTTCTTTTTCTTTTTTGGGAAAAATTAGATTGGATGAGGAACAAGAAACATTTTTCATCGTAGTTTATTACGTCTTGAAATTGTCAAGTGCTTAACTCCTGGTAGGAGGAAAATATTCTGTTCTTATTTTAGAGTGGGACTTACATCATGTGACCACATTTTCAAAGAATACAGTAAGTCTGGTTCTGGTGTTGGACTTGTTCACAACCTCAGACTATAACAAACTAGAATCTAGCTGCTACTTGACAATATGACTTCTTATTGTTTATATAATCAGTGAGTTGTATTATCTAATCTAAAAGTAGACAGCACATAGTGCTTGTTTTGACTCAAACATTGAGGATATTAATTTTAGAATAACACATTGGTACATCAAATGTTCTTTCAAGATCATGTCAAAATGATTCAGATAAGCACTTTGGACCTAAAAGTTACTGAATAATAAGTTTGGTTTGACGATCTTCGTAAATATGATACTTGAATGCGGCCTTACAACATATCTTCAAATAAGTTTGGTTTGACTTCTCTGGTGATTATCATCTTTATGACGTGGAGTTGCATATTAAATAATAAGCAAGGATCTTTATGACGTAGCATTGTTTTATCTCCAGGTCTCAGTTGTAATTCACATGGTTAACATTAGTAGATCCATGAAATGCTTTCTCAAAGGCGCAAGCAGTAGCCCACTTGTACACTTTTCTGGCTATTCCGAAGATAAGAATGATCCTGGGGATGGTGGTGGAATTCCAGTCTTTAAATTTTGGACGATCTCTTGCTTCGGTTAGTTAAATTAAAGATCATCTATACTGTCTTTCTATATGATATTGATTGGTCATGCCTGTATGTTTTGTTCTTATTCAACTGAAATTAACCCAGTTTAATTTTGGGTTCAGTTCTTTAAATTAATTTTTAGTTATTATTAATTGTGTCATGGAAACACATTTGATTCAAAATGGCTTTACCTCCGATATACCTACCAAATTAGTTATCTTTGTTAGTTTTTAGGAATAATATACACAATCAGCATGTGGTTGCAGAAAATCAAGAACTAACTCTCGATTTATGACAATAGCATTAGATGATATCATGCAAGGAAAATACAAAATTATGCTCTGTCATTACGTAAGATTATGTTTATCTTGTCACAATGTGGAAGGTTTTTGTTGCTTGAAAATTTTCAGATTCCAATTTACCTTGCGTAGTTACGTGAACACGTGCATGGTATAGAGGTTCAAATTTTTTTATGAGTTTCTCGCCATTTTGTTAATAACTAATTTGAGAGGTTAGGGAATAATCTCAAGTGACAAAAGACAATACGGGTTAGGACAAGTAAAGGGAATATAGTATATGAAGGGTCTCAATCCAAACTTTGCCTTACTAGCAACATTTGTCCCTTGGTACTGTACGGTTAGTAAAAGAGTCAGCAAAAGAGTGATTGTGGTATTTTGCAACAAAGTAAAAAATCTGTATGTGTATAAAGCTACTGTCATATAAGTTCCACATGATTGTGAACTGTGATTCTTGAACAATCTCAGAAGAAGTGGCAGAGGAGCTTGTCCAGATGTTTATATTGGAGTTAAATTTGAAGGTAAGTTGCTGCTTATTTGCTTCTATGGTAATTTCAGCATGTTCTTAGTTACATTTTTTTTTTTTGGTTTTGTCACTTTATTACTTGTTTGTGCTGTTTGGTTTGTGCAGCGTTTGCTAGTGGTGGAGTTACTATCCATTAGTTGTAAAGTTCCACCTTTAAACAGTTTGCATTGGTCAGATGAGCTTTATCCGGGAGAATTTAGTGATTTGAGTATATGTAACTTATACTCTGAGGAAACTTGTAAGCCAGTCTATCCAAGATTGAATGATCAGAAATCTGAAATGCCAGCTGCACGATTTAACCAGCAGCCAGATCATGATGTTTTGCAGGTATGGTTGCCGTTGATTTAAGCTATTGGTAAAATATGTTTGTGCTCAAATGGGTTCGCCTCTATTTTCGCATTTACCCAATACATATGGAATTTTCTAGTTAGGATTTACAATATGGAACAGTTTTCTCGGATGGAAAGAATTTCCAGTAGACTGATGCAGATTCAACATGTTTTCTTATTCGTTTTCAAATAGTTGTTTACCTAAGTGAAATAGAAAATTGCCCATTATAGTCGAACAATAAAAGTTAGGATGATATTCAGTTCCTCTGGGAGGTTCTCATCAACACTAGGCCTCACATTCTGAAATGCAAAACATCCCTTACATCATCAGTAAAACTTAACAGTACCTAAGCATTTTTGGAGAGTACCTAAAATGATTAAGATGGGAAATATCATATAGATGGGGAAGGTATGTTTACTTTAAATGCAGCTGCATATGCTGCCTGGAGAGATGACAATATCATTTAGTCCTAATATTTGCTATAGATTTCAGTACCTCTAAACCAATTTAATTTTGCAGGTTTATCTAACAACATGGCTTGCAGAGGTGAACATAGATTCTGACAGGTTAGAATGATCTTGGTTACTTTCTAAGGTCATTTCAGACATTCTATTTCTATTTTGATAACATTTGCACAGTTGCGTACCGTAAATTATTGTTTCTTAAGTCGCACAAAAATGAAATACCGGGATGCAAATTCATGTTTTAAAGGTTTGATTAGTTGCTTCTCTTTGAAAAGGGTGGATGAAATATTTGTGGAAGTTGGCGAAGAAATGCATGTTACGATTTCATGAGTTGCTGGCCTGTCTAGAAACAAAACATTTGAAATTTTGTCAAGGAGGTATTTAGTTGATACGCTGAAGATTCGACTCTTTTGAAGCGTCCATGTTATTTGTAAAGAGGGAAATGCTTGAAAATGCCCAAAGGTCGATTCTGCCAAAGTCCCCAAGCCCCAAAAGAGGGAAATGCTTGAAAATGCCCGAAGGTCGATTCTGCCAAAGTCCCCAAGCCCCATAGACCATGGGAAAAAACAAAGAACCTTCAAAAGGTGGAGGCGTCTACATAACAGAAGTCACTCCAACTTGGCAAGTGAAATGAAATTCTGATACTACTGTAGTTGTTTATGTTACATGACCCGTATTTAACATAAATTAGAACTAATTCCTATCTATTGCTTTTAATCTTTGCATAAAGTTTTCATGGACTATTTGACAATTTTGAAGCTGAAATTACTGAGAACTAGCTTGTAAGGCGGATTGGAGTGCCAAATCGTTTTCTTTTTCATTTTGTGGTGGATTGGATCTATTTGAATTTGATGTCTCAGCCTCAACGACTCTTTTCAAGCCTGTGTGTTTTGACTTCTTATTTGGAAAGTGTATATGTATTGATCAAATTATAGCTTTAATTGTATCTGTTTGTAGGGTATTTATTCTCACATAACGTCAAGAGCAAGAACTAATACAAACACATCAACCCACTATATAAAACTGGACCCCCTTTATAAACATAAGGAATGCGGATGACCACCATAACATCCATAACACCCACTATATGAATAGCTTGTAACTTATGTACTAATCTCTATAGTTATAGGCTTGTAATTTATGAGTTGTAAATAGAGGTGTCAAACGGGCCGTGTCGGGCCGGACCGTCCCATTTAAACTCGTGCTTTTAATATTTTCGTGCCGTGCCGGGCCGGCCCATTTAATTTATCGGGCCGTGCCGTGCCGTGCCGGCTCATTTAATAAAATCATTGATCCCGGCCCAAAGCCCATATCCATATTCAAACGGGCCGGGTCGGGCTAATGCCGTGCCCGTGCTCGTGCCATACTCGGGCCCAAGAACCAACCCATTTAATTTGATTTTTTTTCACTTGATTTTTTTTTTTCCACTAGATAATTCAAATTATAAACATTAAAAATATAATTAGAGGTAAGAAATTATGAACTATTTGAAAATATTAATCAATCAAACATCCAAACAATATGAAGGGGCGGAGGGAAAAAAGTGTCCAACTCCACAAAGTCCACTTGAACTTTTCATCTTTAAACATCCAAACAATAGGTGAAGAAATGTTTTGCTTTGATTATAAGAGAAGTGTATATGTCATATGTATTGATTAGATATCAAGTCCAATGTTTTTTAATTAATTTGTAGTTGATATGTTTAATTAACTAAGGACCCAAGTAATTTCCCTAAAATGAAAGACATCAAATATATGTTTATGATTTTTTTTTTTTTTAAAACATATAAACAATGACATTAGATGTCAAATTATTGCATTTTGACTTTTTGAGAAGAAAAAAAGCTAAATGGGCCGTGCCTGGGCTCGTGCCGTGCTTGAAGCGGGCTCAGGCCAAGCCCGGCCCATGTTGGGCCATGGGCCGACCCTATCCATTGGACCTATTTTTTGATCCCGGCCCGACCCAAGTTTTCGTGCCGTGCTAGGCACGGCCCATTAATATTCGTACTCGTGCCGTACCGTGCCTCATTTAAACGGGCTAGGCTCGTGCCGTGCTGGGCCGGTCTGTCCCGTTTGACACCTCTAGTTGTAAATGTATTTATTGATGTAAGCCTATAAATAAGAGGTCTTATCAATACTAAGGGAACAAGTCTAGAGAACAAATTCTCGTTTTTCCCTTCCCTTTATTTCTCTCTATATTTTCCCTCTAGTTTTATAATATGTTATCAGCAGCACGAGAGTTCTTGGTATTATTTCTTTCTTTGTTTAATTTGTTCTTTTACTTTTTGCTTGAGCTAGAGTCGTGACATGGTTTAGAGTTTTTGCACTCACCCATGAGATTTCATGAGCTTTGATTTTAATTATTTACTCTATCTCATGTTTGTATTATACAAAAGATCAAGGCTTGAAGTCCCTCGATCCTCATCATTTAAATAGATCAGGACTTGAAGTTCCTTGATCGAATAAGAACCATTAGTTCTTTGATTCTCAGTAACTAAGTGTCTGAGTACCTCAATTTTTCAAAAATAAATAAGGACATGAAACTCCTTGATTTCGTATTCATCATATTCAGAATTCCATGATATCTACATATCTCACGAATTTGAACCAGAAGTTTCAGGCTTATTTGAATTTAAATGTATCAATTTTAGAACCCGAAGTTTTAATTGTGTCAGTCTTGAATCAGAAGTTTCGAGTGCTTATACATTAATTTGAATATGAAATTCTTAGCACACATATTAATTTAATTGGATTTACGCATTTGAACTTGACGCTTCGAATACATGTTATTATGAATATGAAGTTCATAGTTTTTCATAGATTTTAATATTAATATGAACCTGATGTTTATTAGTTCTTTGTGCCTATTTGACATTTGAACTTTATAGAACCTAAAGTTCTATATCCATGAGATGAATTATCAAGAACTCAAATTTTAGAATCACATGGCAAAATAGCATACTTTGAGGCACATTGAATTGGTTGGAAATCCAATCATTTATGTATTTATTTTATCTATAAATTGAATACACGTTAAAACATGCATATCTTAGATTTTCGTAGTCTTTAATTATTTTATTTCTTGTTAATACCAATTCTTTTTATTTTATTTTATATTTTATTGTATTTATGTTTTGATTAATAGTTTATTTATTTTGTTTTACAATGTTAATATTACCCCTAAAATATGACAACCAAAGGCGTATATTTGAGAAACTTAATACTTTCTTTTGGGGGTTGTATTACACAACCACTAAAGTAGTTGAAGCCCATGCCAGTTTATATATTACATTATTGGTTTAATTGAGGCATGTTTCCAACGAACAAAAATCCTCCCATACATTTTGTTTTTGGCATTCAACTACATTTATGCGTTTTTGGATGTTTATGTGCCTATTGCACAACCATAATGTATAGGATGAATTATCAATGCAAATTGAAAATCTAAGTTGATTTTGGTGCACTTTACCGCATGTTTTAAGGATTGTTCATTTGATAAGGCAACTTTCCCGCTATCAGAGGGAGATATGACAGTTCCTAAAGAACATAGTGAATTAGCCTTGAATACATCCGCTTTTGTCTTATCAAGATAATGCATATATAAGTTACATAACTATAAGTAACTATCAATAATTAATATGTTGCATGCTTAAAACATGACATATCTATAGGTTCTAAAGACTTTACTATGGAAGTGAAGATTATTTGAAAAATTCAAGCCCTATTGAAAATAACTCTCTCTATAAGAAGTTATGATTCATATATTCTAAATAATTCATCTTAACAGAGATTTTTATCCCATAAGTGACAATAGAAGCCCCTGAAGAGGCATTTGGTACCCCAAAACAATGAGATGCTTATAAATTATGCACGTGCATGCACAAGAGAATAATGCGATCACGAATTGATGAGACATTTGGTTTATTAGTAGCTACTACAATCATCACTAGCTATGATTATGTTAAATCACATTTCATGAATGTCGACAAGTTAATTGATTGGCCAAAATGGGAATAGCATTATCACTAAATATGACGTGTTGGATATTGAACCTATAACTCAAACACCAACTTACAAATGTTAAGTTTGAAGGTTACAGATTGGTGTTTGTGAAGTGAAATAAGATCACTAATATGACATAAGATTTCCTGGTAGAGACATGGTTTTAGTCTCTTATCCCATTGTAGATGCATCCACATTGTTATTTTAATGCGAAACTTATAACATGTGTTAAATGCATATTTAATAAGATTGCATGGTACATGGATATCCTTAATGCTCATGAAATATTTGAGATAAATCCCATGAAGGCACTCCTTGAAGGATATAAAGTACCACGGTATTATTAATTAAGAGTTAACACAAAGAGTGATAGCATTTTGAATTCAAATTTGATATCTATACAGGTTTTTTTTTTTTTTTTTTTTTTTTTTTC